TTTTTTGATAATCTCGTATAAAATTAATTAAAACAATAAGGAATTATGTTTAAATAACAACAAAATATATACAATTTTGTTGTTGCAAAAAAGGATAAAAAAACCGTTGACTTCTTTTTAACAGCTTTTATTTAACTTCATAAATTTAAATGATATTATATATTATAATGAATGAATTTGTTTACCACGAAAGCTGAATGTGCCGTGTGTAAACTTATCTATTGGAAGTGGTAATTTGTATTTATTTGTAATTTCAATTTTATTAGTTAGAACTATTGTAAATATAAAAAGAGGTTAAAAAGAAGAAAAAGGTATTTTATCCATTATGTTTAATTATACATACAATCAAATTTTAATGAACAATAATTTTTGTTTGTTAAATTAATGAATTTTTAGTTAATTTTGCTATCTGTGTATCAAGTTTTATTGTAGTTTTGAATATGAAGAATTATGGTTGAGTGGATGATTCAATTATAGTTTGTCTTTTAACGTTATTTTGTAAACAAAAAAGCTTGATTAATATGTAAACATCGGGCATTAGGTTAAATGTGAAAAAAACTTGAAACAATTGTGATAAATTTTTTAAAAGACTTCCCTAAATATTCCAATTTTATCGGATTAAAAAATAGTAGATACCGTTAGAGACAAGATAACGTTTAAAAACTGACTGTATAATATAATTTAAGGAAGTGTGGTAAAGAAATGATAACTAAACCATCTAAATTGTATATTTAAAAAGTTTAAGAGTATCTCTAAAATATAAGTATATATGATAAATTTGTTATTTGTATATGTGTTGATTATATTGGCGTTATCAACATGTCCATTAAATGAAATTGAAGGAACAGAATATGTCTTGACTGGAAATGAAGTGTGTGAAAATACAGAGTCGTTAAAAATTACATCAAGTAAGTTACAAATGACAACTGGCTCGACTTTAAAAACAGATAAGAATTTGGAACTTGTTAGAGGACAAATCACACTCGAATCAAATTGCATTTTGAATGTTACTGAATTGTTTAGATTGAGATTTGAAAGTACATGTATTGCGACTGGTAATTCAATTATAAATACTAATCAATTGGAATTAAAATCGAATTCAATAATTAATCTTTCTGGAAATTCCATGCTGAATTCTGTTAGGAATGTCATTTTTGAAACTTCTTTATTTAAACTTTCGGAAAATGCTATCCTTTTTGTGGAAGGTAATATATCTTTAAGTGGTAGTACATCTCCAAATACACTTTCAGGAAAATCAAGACTAGTATGTTTAAATTTGTTTTCAAAGATAGCAAGCAGTCAAATCACAATCAATGAATATTCATATGTTGGTTTGCTTGGCTCTTTTATTTTTAAAATATTTGGAGATTCTTTTCAAATATCGAGTTCGACACAACGAATTAATTTTGTATCAAAATCGTTTGAATTAACAAGAATATTTAATGCTGATCATAAAAGTACAATTCAAACAGAAAATCTCATTTTAAATTTGACAGACACATTTAAAGTCTCCACAGAGAGAACAATCAAAGATCTTCCACTCTTTTTTGTATCTAACTCAGTTACAATAACTGGATTTGATGTTTTTCAACACGATGGTGAATTCGACTTTTTGTACACAAACAACACTCTTGACACGTCATCATACACAACCCCATTCAAAGTACTTTTAGATAGTCACCTATTGCGGTATGGTGATTCAGATAAGATATATTGTCATGTGAACCACACTGAAGACACACGATATCCATATTACATCGAAAGTTATTGCCCACTCACTGATGCATACATCACGCCAATTGACACCTTTTATCAAATGAAAGTCAAAGTAGATGCAATAAAACAGAGTTTAAATGTAAAAAGCGCAGAAAATGAAGAAAATGTGATTGTGATTGGAAACCAAAAATACGACCTGTCACTCACCGAATTTATTGAGATTGAGATGGAGTCTGACAAACAAGTAGATTTAGATAATTTTACAATCACAAAAAACGTATTTCTCGTTGCTGCGAATGGGTTTGAATACAACAACACGTCGTGTAAGTCGGGGTATTTCCAAAACGGCATTTTCATCTGTCAAAATCATTTACCATGTTCAGATGGTGGTAAGACCACTGATGGAAGATGTGCAGAATGTCAAGATGTTAATTGTGTCATGTGTGATGGTGACAATGGTAATTGCATGAAATGTAAAGATAATTTGACATACAATACCAAATCAAACACGTGTGAAGAATACACGAACTGTCTTTCATTTACAGAAGACAAGTGTCTTCGATGTGTAGATGGCTTTGTATTTAAAGGTAACAATTGTGTTGATATCACCGAAGGCAACGGAAATTGCCAGATAAAAGTCGGCGTTCCATCGGAGTGCAGAATGTGTGATTTAACAAACATAACATTAATCAACACTAATGGAGTTTGCAGTGTTGTACACAGCAATGTTGTTGTTCACAGTCTTTCAAACGTTGTTGAATGCAAAGATGGGTTTTTTGTGCAAAACAACATTTGTAACGACTGCACAACCAACAACGAAGGAAGTTTGTTGTGTTCATTCAAAACCACTGAGAAGTGTGATAAGACATATTATGTGAGAGAAGATGGCAGTGTCTGTGTCAAAAATGAGTGTTCAGATGGTACAAATAACGAAGAAAATGGGAAGTGTGCACCACAAATAGACAACTGCATAAAGTATGTGAATGGTATGTGTGTCGAATGTTCTTCAAAATACTCATATGATGGCAATGTGAGTTGTGTTGAGCCATCAACAGTTGATGTGAACTGTGGAATGGCAACTCCGAGTGGGTGTATCAGATGTGATGGAAATACCTTCCTGAATATATCGACACACAAATGTGAGGTGTGCAACTCAAGTTGTGAAAGTTGTTTGGATTTGACAAAGTGCCTGTCGTGTGTAGATGGGTACTTTTTGAGTGACCACATCTGCAAATCGAATGATGAATTGAATGACACTTGTGCACGAAAAGTACCAAATGGGAATGGCTGTTTGGTTTGCAAAGTTGGGTATTACAAGAAGGGAGCAGATTGTGCACAATGTGATGTCGAGTGTGGTGAGTGTCTGACAGAGAACTCGTGTATTAAATGTAATGCAACAAACTACAAAACGAGTAATGGCGATTGTTTTCCACGTTCTGCGATATCGACGTGTGCCGTTGAAGTGACCGAAAGTGGCTGTTCAACGTGTAAAGACGGGTATTACACAGTCAATGGAAACGAGTGTCAGAAGTGTGTTGAAGGGTGTGCGAAGTGTTCAGAATCAACTCGGTGCACATCATGTGATGACACATATGTGCTCAAAAGCACCAGTTGTGTGAGTTATAACACCATCACAAAGTGCACAAAAACAAAAGACTCAAAATGTTCATCATGTACATTTTGGTATTCACCAAGTGACGATGGCACATTTTGTTCAAAGACGGCAGTGTGGTGGGTGATACTTCTTATAGTTGTCATTATCATTTTAATTACTGTGTTGTTCATAGTGTTGGTCTTATTTGTTATGGTTAAAGTCATAAAGCACAAAAGAGATACCAGCAAAATCACACTCTTTAAATTGGAGCACACCAACATGAAATTTGTCGAAATGGCAGATGGTCTGATAATTCACACCAAAAACGAAGAATTTTTGATCACCGACGATGACTTGGACGAAAACGAAATTGATGTTAACAAACAAATCAAGAATCTGTTTTCTATTGGAAACACTACAAACCATAAAGTCAAGATTCAGTTCACTTCTAAAACAAATGAGAAGTACTATATTTCATTTGACCCACATATAATAACAATTCCTCCAAATTATGGGTGTGAGTTCAGTCTCTTTTTGACGCCACTGTGCAACTCGAATATGGAAAGTAGTTTTGTGATCAATTATTTTATCTTTGCAAATGACTCCAAAACATGTATACATCAGATGGACTTTAAGTACATCACCAAAATATCAACACGACTTGATCCAGACAGTCTGATTGAAGAGAAACAACTTGGTGAAGGCTCTTTTGGTGTTGTCTTCAAAGGAAAATTGGGAGGGAATACAGTTGCAATCAAGAAGATGAAAAACGTAACAAATGCAAAGGACCAAATGGCTGAATTTGAGAAAGAAGTGTCAATGCTTGATAAATTTAGGTGTGATTATATCGTCCACTTCTATGGCGCCGTATTCTTTCCCAACAAGATATGTATGGTCACTGAATTTGCTGAGTTTGGGTCTGTGTGTGATATGTTGAAAAACAAAGACGCAAAAGATGTGGATATGAAATTGCGAATCAAAATGTGTTTAGACGCAACAAAGGGGGTGTCTTATTTACATAAAAATGGAATACTTCACAGAGACATCAAGCCAGACAATGTATTATTATTTTCATTGAATCCAAACGATGTTGTGAACGGCAAATTGACTGATTTTGGATCAAGCAGAAATATTAACATGATGATGACTAACATGACATTTACAAAGGGTATCGGAACACCAATTTATATGGCACCTGAAGTGTTAAATAAAGAAAAGTATAAAATGCCTTGTGATATTTATTCACTTGCAATTTCATTCTTTGAAATCATTGGATGGGCAGAACCATTTCCTAAAAAGAGGTTCAAACATCCATGGGAAATAGCAGACTTTGTTGGGAAGGGAAACCACCTCACTTACGATGAAAACTTTGGCATTGAGACACAAGAAATGATAAACTCTATGTGGGATATCAAACCTAAAAAACGAATTTTATGCGACGAAATTGTGAAAAGACTCAAAACCATTTTTTCCAAATTCCATAAAAATGTTTGAGAAAAACCAAAAACAATTAACTCGCTGTTTTTAAAATTTGTTTTGAATATTTCAAACCTTGTGTTTCAAACTTTTTAACAAATTTTCCTGTATAAAACACAAAATATTGTTCAAAGTGTTATGAAATATACAAAAATTTAATTATATATTAAAATGGAAAAGCAACAAAGTGTGCTGTACACCAAAAATTGGATTGTTAGATGTTTTTAAAAATAACAATGACACTTATAAATTTATTTAAAAAAATAAAAAAAATGCAATAATTTCACCATCTGATTGGGATTGTTTTGGTAAGGCAATTAGATGTGACAATTAATCCGAAGCTTCACATTATATTTTGAATAATTTTATACACAAAAAGGTAGAAGTTGTGGCAATTTTTGATTTAATAATTCACCCCTTAAAAGAAGATAAAGATAAAACTTTGAACCATAGAATCACTGGAAATCCCATATTTCCATTAATTAACAAAATACTAAAAATGGAAATTATATTATTTTTGTAAAAAATAAAATCTGACATAAACTCAGTTATTATCACCCGTTGTTTTATTTTTATATTTGTAAAAATATGATGTATATGAACATTTTGTTTTTTATTAAAACAAAAACGGAAAAACAAATCCCTAAATAACAGTATGGAATGTGTACAAACGTGAAACATAAGATTAACACACAACAAATACATTGTGTGTAACAATATAAAAGACAAAGCTGCTGTTACAAACAATGGTTGGGTGTACATTTTTTATTTTACAAAGTTATAGATACAAATAAGTTATTTGACACCAACATCTTGATTTTGACTGATGAAATTGGTAACAATGAGATAAAACATAAACAAAAATACAACATGATTTACAGAATCAAAAGTCGAATTAAAGTTCTGTCATCGAGTAAATGTTGCTCAAACAAAATGGCTTTGGCTGAGTGGAAGTCATTTTTCTTTATAAAGGAGTGTATTAAAATTGTTGAAAAGTACAAATGCTTAAAACCAAAAAAATGATTTGAAAAAAATGATCTAATAACACAGTTTGTTAAAATGGTTTTCTTGTTTTAATGTTTATATTAATTACCAAATCAATTGTATTTATCACTTTGAGATGTTTTGAAATGATTGATCAAATGGTCTAAACTCAATTTATGTTATTGGTTATTTTATTATATATTTTGGTTTTAATAATAATTACAATATCCTTTTGGATTTATTATTTCATATAAGTTGAAAACATATTCATTCAAAAACTACATATTGAAATAAATATCATTTTTTTGAATAAAATACAAAGACCATAGTAAATTTAATAATATCATTAACAACAAAGCAAATTATAATGTTTATAAATATAAACATATTAAAAACAACATATAAATTTTACACCCATTTTACTTGATAAAATTACAACACATGTTTTGTTATATTTGTCATTAACTTGTTTTTGATTGTATTTGATTTGTACATAGTTAGACATTTATTCGTAATTTTATAGGTATAAAATCCCAAAATTGCAGAAATTTCGATATTTTATTAAGTATTTACACAAAAAAATTGATCAAAATCAATTTTGTGAGTAAAAAATATTTAAACTGATTTTTTTTGTTTCAAAAAAACAAATAGTAATATTTTATTATTAAATATAAGAAATGTTATTTCTATTTTCAAAATTGCCGAAACATAAATTGACAAGTCAAATATTAAACCAAAATTTCGGGATAAAGAAAAAAAATTAAAAAACAAAAAAAATTCCAAAATTCGAAGATTTTAAATTGTCAAACATCGAAATGATAAACGTTTTCTGGTAAACTCTATGTTAAGATGTATTTCTTTCTGAATAAAAAGAACTTGTATAAAAATTGTAGGTACTGTTTTATTCACAAAATCTTTAATGACTTGATAATATTAAAACAAAGATCGTGTCTTTTTACTATGTTAAACTGTTAACTTTTTGGGAATTTGGACAATTGCTTATTGTTATTACTAATATTCCCGATTATATTCATTTAAAAACCCAAAATTTCTCTATAACAACAAATAATTTTAAAATTGCCGCACAAATAATAGATATTTAATTTATTAATATATATCTTTTTAACTCTTTTAATAAGTATGAATTATGTTTATACTGTTATGCAATTTGTCTAATAATTATTTAATTAAAAGTTATACATTAATATATATTAATACAATGGATCTGTTTTTATATTAAAATATTTCAAAATTTAACAATTTAAATTAATAATAATGTTTAATGGTATATTGATTATAAATATTAATAAATAACCACCCAATATGAATTGTGTATTTTTTTTTATTTTTATGTTCATTATTTTGTAATATCAACATTTATTTATTATTAAAAATATTATTATAATAATCAATTTATGTGTTTTATAAATATTTTTAAATATATAAATAAAATTAATATAAATTATAGTTAATTATATTATTATATATTCGACACAAATATAATTACAATCAATAAAGAACTTCAATTATTTTGTTTTTAATAACATAATTAAAAACTTAAAATTTTAGTAAAATTGAATAATATATTTAATTGAAAAAATTAATTATCAAACGAGTTTTTGTGTTACTTCCTAAATACTAAAGATAAATCAAGCGAAATAAAAATAACAAAATACACACGATTTTCAATTGGTAAATTAAACCAAATAAAACCATAACTATTAATTATGATTTGATTCCAAATGTACACAGTTTGATAATCTTTACAGCAACTTATTAGGCATTTTTTGTTTTAAATGCGTTTTTGAGACAAAAAACAAAAAGAATAATCACAATTCCTCACATTATTCGTTTTTTATTTATTAATTATAAACACTTTTGATAAATTTACTATTAAAATAACACCGACCTTAATTATTTTAACCGCCAACACAAATAAAAATACTGCTCATGACATTGTTTCATTTTATTAACACAATAAAATCATAAATTATTTAATTGATATTTTATTATAATTTTTAGTTTGTGAAATTAATAAATAAAAAAAATAAAATAAAACAAAATCATTCAATAAGCTATATAGTGTTATATAATCAATTTAAAATCGTTGTCTTATTGACAAAAAATAATTGATTCTTGATTTAAAAAACGGAATTGGTAATATTAAAAAAATAGAAACAACATTTTGGGCTTTTAAAAATTATCACAACATATTCACATTATAATGGTCTAAAATCACCAGATAATGTTCCAGATTATGCTAATCTAATGACTATCAATAAAAACCAATTATTTATTTGTTTTTTAAACATTAAGATATTTTTAAAAAATCAATTGATAATTATTGCATGATCATTCTTTTTTCAATTTTAAATGTTATAAACAGTTAAAATAAGTTGTCCACTTTTCGACGTTTTCCAAGAAATGTGAATTATTATAATAATATTAATTTAAAATAATGTTGTAAATACTTCAATATTTTTAATATAAATAATTTCAAAACTTTTTAAATTAATTCTAAACTGTTTTTCAAAAGTCTGTACTGTGGTGTCCCGATTTTTTGCGTTTATTTTGTTTATTATTTTTGGGAATCGTTTTTTGTAATAAATTCGCTTATTTTTTCCAAGTAAAAAAGAGAAAAACGGTCTTCAAAAAATATTTTTTTACTTGAAGAATTTTTAAGCATTAAAAAAATCCATATAAAATTTGAAATAACGGGATTTTTGTTTCAGAAAAACACACAAATGATCCCAAAAGTGCATTATAGTACAAAAGCAAATAAACTTAATGTCAATCTTTTTCATTATCAAACAATTCATTAATTAATGAAATATTCACAAAACAAAAGCTTAGTTCGAAGATTAGTATGCTTAGTAGTGCTGTCACAAAAACAATAAAAATAACAAAATGATTTGATAACTTATCTTCGTTGTTTTTAAAAAGTCGACATTCTTTTTGAGCATTTCAGTGAAAACATCTTTTTTAAAATATCCAATAACAAAACAATATTGTTATTTTGCATTATCGTCTTTTCTTGTGTTGCACTTTGACAATTTGACTTATGCCTGTCAAAATTATTAAACATTTGCTGTAATTTATTTTTTGGTGTTTTTGGAACTCTTTATTTCATTATTTTTTATTCAGAGAAGATAACCACATGTTTGTTTTTAATTGAAAATATTTTTTAACGAAAGTAATTATCAGTTAAAACTCGACACGAACAACACCATTCAAATTCACTTAAACGTTCATTGTTGTGCTTTTAGGCCAACAATGCTGTGTATATGTTGCGAAGTATCGAGTTGATATCAAATCAAATAACGGGATCGGGTTTTTTGGAAAAAGATGGCTAATATTCCAATATTTTCCCGAATTTGTACGAAAATAATTGAATGGGATTGGTATTTTTTTCAAAATAAAGTCAGTACTTTCGATTTTTTGTTTTTTATTTTTTTAGGAAAAAACAAAAATAAAAAACGGGACTTTAGAAAGTTCTAAAAATATGACAGTACCGACTTTTGAAAAACAGTTTATATTATACTTCTCTTGTGAATTTTATCAGTCAAACAGACAGAATTATACAAGAGGACTACTTTCTAAAACAAACTGAATAATTTAATTAATTGCATCAAAATTAAACAATGAAAAAATAGTGTTTTTATAATAATTATTTATGTATAGCTTTCAATTTGTTGAATAATATTGATAATTTATTAACTCTTGCATTTGTAAGACATTTTTTAATTTATTGATTACTTAAAGACAATAAAATTGATTTTTTAAAAGATTATATATTATTGATTTTTTGTTTATCAAATTAAAAATAATTGAATTTGGATCATATGTGTGTCGATTAGGTATTTATTAACACACAAATTATATACTCACCCAAGCTTAAAAATAATATTATTAAGCCAATATACTGTAGGCATTAAAATAACATCAATGTGGTCGTATAAATATTTTTCAAAAAATTATCATATTGTTTAAACAATATACTTACGAAATCGATATATAGTAAATTATAAATATAC